GCAGTGAATTATGCTCAGTGTGTTCAGAGCACCCTGAGGACGCGACTTGACCTATCTGAGCAGGTGACTTTGAGCAAGAGTTGGCCAAATGCAGCATGGCAGGTGGAGTGTTCCAAGCAGCGGAACTTGTGGGAGGAGCTGGGCAGGGGGAGACACTGAGGGGTGACGTGGGAGGTGTGGTCACAGGGGTCTCCTGCTGCAGAGAAGCTGGCAGTCTTTGGAGACTGTTACCTGGGGGGGGCGGGGGGGGAAGGCTTTCCTAGCTCTCCCTGACTGAAAGGAAAAGGGGTTCAGAATCAGGTGCTCTCAGACTGCTGGACTCTCCCGCTAAGCTGTAAGCTCCCTGAGGGGAGGAAATGTGTCTTTTTTTAAGATTTATTTTATTTTTATTGGAAAGTCAGATATACAGAGAGGATGGGAGACAGAGAAGAAGATCTTCCATCCACTGATTCACTCTCTAAGTGACCACAATGGCTGGAGCTGTACTAATCTGAAGCCAGGAACCTGGAGCCTCTTCCAGGTCTCCCACACAGGTGCAGGGGCCCAAGGCTTTGGGCCATCCTCATCTGCTGGATGGGAAGCGGGGCTGCGGGGATTAGAACTGGTGCCCATTTTGGATGCCGGTGTGTGCAAGGTGAGGACTTTAGCTGCTAGGCTACTGTGCTGGGCCTAGAAATATGTCTTATTAAGGACTGTATCCAGAACCTGGCACTGTGTTGTGCCCACTCCAGCTTGCTGAGAGGAATAAGTGATTCAGTGCAGATCTGCTGGTGATACACAGATCAGCCATCGCGGGCATCTGAGAGAAGCCCCGAGCACACAGCCGTCACTCGGGGCTTGCCTCTCTAGGACATTGAGAATGTGAATGTGCGTGTGCACTCACGTGGATGTTCACAGTCCTGCGATGCTCTTACAGCCTCCGAGGAAGCCATCCCCGCGCAGGGATCGCTGTGGGGCCGGCCGAGCGCGTGTCCGTGCAGGGCTGGCCTCGGTGCCACCGGGTGACGCAGTCTTCAGGGAGCACAGTTGTACAGCAGGTCTGTTGCTGACCCGTAACTGCAGCGTTCCGGCGTAACTTTGTCTGGAACGATGCACTCACCTGCACTGTGGATGCAGCCTGCGGGGTAGAAGCCCCTGCAAGGCAGCACCTTTCACTGTCACTCGCTGCGACCCCCAGCACCTGCGGCAGTGCCGTTGGAGCCGGGTGCTCAGCGACTCGGCCCATCAGCAGAACAGCATGTGTAATGCTGCTCGTGCAGGATGTGACTAGTTCCCGCTCAGGCTCGAATCTCTCCTGGCCTACTGCGAGATGGCTTGCGTGTTGGATGCCAATGTCAAATATTCTCCAGCCCAGACCCACTCGCCGCTGTGGGTCATCAAGTAACACATTTCCTGTCAGCGGGCTGGAGTCAGAGACTGATCAAGTGCCCGGGGAAACATTTGCCCCCTTTCCATAGGCCCTGCCCTTTTACTTTAGCCCGTTTTCTCCGTGCCCGCCTACAGCAGAGACTGGAAGCAGAGCAGTCAGATAGCTGACAGCCACAATGCCAGGCAACAGGGGAGAGTGGAGATGGGGATGGCTTGGCAGGGTCACCGCTCTGCACCCCAGAGTAACACTTTGTGGGGTCAGGCTTCTGTCACAGGGGATCAAGTATATTCCCAGCTTGCTCACTGTGGCACAGTAGCCATAGCCGTACATCATCTGTCCCTCTAAGCTGACCTACGTATCTCATCTTCCTTACTTCTCTCAAGAACCAGAAGAATGTATCAGCAGAAATATTACTGTCTCTTCAGTTCTGCCCAAAGACTGACAGTGGTCAAACAGCGTGGGCCCGCACCTCTCCTGCCCGGAGTCCAGAGGCTGGGGCGACCTGAACAGGCGTGCCTTTGTTTACTGCTGCTCCAGGGCCCGCGCTGTGTGGCTGTTGGTCGGACGACGGGCTAGATGCCCAAGTTCCCGCTCGGCAGTAGGTTCCTGAACGAAGGTAGCTGAGTGACTCCCTGGGGGAAAGAGGCCTGCCCAGTCATCTCTGTGACACCTTTGGCATTTCTGCCTCCTGACCTCCATTCCTGCTTCACTGGTCTCACTGACTTTTTTTTTTTTTTTTTTTTTTTTTTTTTAATGTTCCTCTTGTGGCTAGAATATCCAATACCTGAGCTGTGCACTTGAACTTGAATGTCTCGCACTGGGCGCCCAAGACACAGATCATCCAGCTTTGAAATTCCATGTGCTTGTTTACCACACAGCCAGGTGCTCTCACTGCCCATCACAGCGGCTGCAGCCAGGCCCCAGTGGTCTCCAGGCTCGGCCAGGAGGCCGTGTGCACACATCCAGGGCCTTTCACCCCCAGCTCTGCCGGGCAGCCAGGTCAGAGGCAAGAATGGCGCTCGCCAGTGTACCCTGGGGCCCAGCACCAGAGGCAGGGATGGCGCTCGTCAGGCTCCCGGGGAGCCAGCACAGAAGGCTAAAGCTCAGGAGTGTCTGCTGTGGGAACATGGCAGCTGTCACACAGGGAGGCAGGTGGGCAAGGCAGGCTCTGGAGGTCCTGGGACCTCTGCTTTTCTGTTTACTTTTGAGGGTGTTTTACATAGGTGTGTGTGAATGTGTACGCATGTGTGCCGCTTCAGGATAGGTTGGCTTCTTTGGGGAATCTGTTGGAAATTACAGCATGTTCCTCAAAATTGTATATACCTGCACACCCATATGGAATTTAGAAACATTTTCAGGATATCCAGGTTACACATACACCTGTGGAAACCTTCTACACCCTAGCTTGTTCCTTTGCCGTGCGTTTTACGAGCCCAGCAAGCAGCAGGCTTCCTGCAAGGAACCACGGTCTCCTGTGACCCCTCAGGCACACGTGCACACAGGAGCCGTGGCTCACGGGACCCCCCGGTGCTGCTGTGGGCAGCACACAGCTCGGGAGATTGGGCGCCTACGTGTGACATTGGGTTTACGTTGGCTTTAGATGGAGACATTTACATACTATTCATGCAAATACCTACTCAGATATTTAAAGATGATCAAGACTGTCTATAGGAGCTTTTCACACACGCAGTGTATTAAATAAATGTGTTTTCCTTCGACTTCGTGCTGTCTTTACACTGCTCCCACTCTGTACCTTGCCCTGTACACTGAAGAACCCCTTGCGATCTCACAAGTTACTTGCCATACTGCACTCATTTCCTGGCATGTTTGTGGAAGAAATTCAAAGCAAGCATAAACCTAATGCTGACAGAATGGTGGCCTTGCGGTCTTTCGGTCTCGTCTTCTCCGTTTCCACAGAAAGGGCTCCCTTCAGTCCTCACCTCCAGGGAACTTGGAAGGAGTTAAGGCCCTTCTTGACTGCATAGGCATTTGCTGCCACCTGCTGGCCATATGGGGAAACGACAGAGTAGTACAAAAACCCGGGGGAGAAGGGTCCAGGATCAGGGGAAGCTGGAAAAGAAACCCTATACTGGGTCCATCTTTGCTTTCTAGGGGAAGAGCATCCCATCATCCCATTCTTAGACACACACAGATTCACTTCACACCGAGTTCATTCTGTCCACATTTATTGAGTGCCAGCTGTGTACCAGCTGTGGGAGAGCAGTACCCACAATCCCTGTACCACGCATGTGCAGTCCAGTAGCCAGCTGCTTCACTTGACAGAGGGGGTCCAACCCCTGAGACACACATGGTACTCAGTGGGTAGGAACACAAGCCTGACCTACACCAAGAACCAAGACTCCCCGAGGAAGGCCTGCTTAAGCTCAGCTGGCGGGGGCAGTGCCGTGAACAGCGGTGTGTGGGGTGCAGGGCCCAGAGAGGACGCAGGCAAGAGACTGACTCATGCCAGGCCTTTATTCCTGATACAAGAGGAAGTAAGATGTTCCGGTTGGTGGCTCAGAACTTGTGACAGTGGCTGGGAGGGAGTGGGGCAGGTATGGACACAAAAAAAGAGACAGAACCTGTTGTGAGGGGACTGGCCAGGCCAGGGCCAGGAGCCTGGACTCCAGCCGGGTCTCCCATGTGGGTGGCAGGGTCTCAAGTACTTGGGCCATGCTCTACTGCCTTCGCAGGTGCACCAGCAGGAAGTTGGGTCAGAGATGAAGGCGTGGCTACAGGAGCTAGCACTTACACACTGTCCCAGCCTGTTGCTGGCTTGCTTGCTGCTGCCAGTTGCGTGTCTGGTACTCTCAATTCCTCTCCTTTGCCAATGAGGCTAAAGGGACCAAATTCAGCTGTCGCCGCTACTGAGGTCCCCTTCTGACCGCCGGCTGAGTCTTCCCACCTCTCTGGTCCCTTTCCTTGGAGTCACTGCTTGGTAAGGCCAGCCCGTGTGTTCACCGAGAACATGTGGCCTCCTCCCAGGGCCTCTGCCTGGGCTCTCTCCCCATCCTTGCTTGCTTTCCTTAGAGCCACCTCTGCCTCAACAAAGTTGGAAGAGATCTTTGCTATGAAACCGACAAGGAAGTAGCCGCAGCAGCTACTAAGCAGTGGGCAGCCTCCCTGTGACCCCCCTGACAGGGACGGTAACTGCTGGTGACACCCAAGGCCCACCTTGTCCCGTCACACAGTGAGTGAGTGAGCTAGCAGAGCATCCCAACACCTGGGAGAGCTAACACTAGCGTGAGGCTGGCCGCGGGGAAAGGCAGCAGGAAGAACAAGGCCCTGGGTGCTGGGGAGACGTGGCTGTGCCCCCTGGTCTGCTTGCTAACCAGTGCGCCTTACTGCCACTGAGCCTGAGTTCTGGCACACGGACATATCAAGTAGCAGGAGTGAGGCCCACTCCGTGGGTGGTTCTGTTAGGGAGTATCCTGTCCAGCCTCATCTCCTGAGAATCACTCACTTCCTTTCTTTCCCTTTTGTGTGCGGTCAGGGCCAGTGGCTTCCTAGTCCCAGCTCCCTGTGGCTCTCCCGTTTCCAGGCTGACCCCCCTCCAAGCTGGGGAACGGGACCCAACACTTTACAAGAGCCCAGGAACTGCCAGCCAGTTTTCCAAAGGGGCGTGGGGGGCTGGCCCAGCACTCCCCTCCCCCTCTTTTCCTCAGGGCACAGACAGGTCGGACTCCAAGTGGCCTCCACTCTCCGGGAGCTGGCAGCTCCTCTCCTACAGCTCTGTGAGGTCATCGTTGAAATAGAGCAGAATCGCGGGGATGTGCAGCGAGCCATCCATGCTAAGAAAGTCAAACTCCTCCTCCTCGTCCCGGATGCCGTTCTCTTCCAGGGTGTCGTTCATGTTGAGGTTCTTGCCTTCGTACTTCCACGTGTAGCTGGCCGCGTGCACGTTGTAGGGGAGGTAGCGGTGGAGGATTTCCCACATGGACTCCAGCGCCCCTACCTGGAGAAACGGGGGCGCGCCCGGCCCCAGTCCTGGGTGGAACACGCGACCCGTCCTGACCCCGCGAGAGCAGGTCCCCGTCCCGGCCCAGGTCTATGTGCGATAACAGTTCCAACAGGTGGCCCTCACGAGGGCCCAGGCAGGCTGGTAAGCACGCGGGTCGCTGCCCAAAGACACCTGCACGAGCCTCGCAGGGCAAACACTCCCAGGATCCCCAAGTGCTCCGGGAAGCAGACACCCGCCTGCCGCCCCGCAGCGCCTCTCACCTCCAGCGTGTGCTCCTGGGACGTGAGCGTGTTGATGATGCGGATGTTCCGGGTCTTGGGGGACAGTCGTCCCACCTCGTACTGCGACCCCTGCCACCAGGGCTTCCCGAAGTCGTTGGCCCAGTCGGAGCGGGGCAGCTGGGGCGGCACGTGCACGAAGCGGCCCCGCGGGGTGCGGTACCGCAGGCAGCCTGTCAGGGGGTCGATGTGCTTGCGGATCTGCAAAGCAGGGGCGGAGCGGGTTGGGGCAGGCGTGGGACGGCCCGGCTTCTCCCGCCGACCCCCAGCTTCCACTCACGTCCTTGGTCTTCGGATCAAACCAGTGGCTGATGTCCTGGCCCGCGACCTCCACGATGGGTTTCAGCAGCAGGTTTCCTGGGAAGAGGCGGCAACGGTCAGCGCGGGGGCCCGAGGACCGCGCGTCGCTCCCTGCCCCGACCCGCAAGCGGCCCTTACCCTTGTACTCCTGCGCCAGCGGGGTCAGGTCGTACACGTACCCCAGGTACGACACCCAGAGGTCCTCGGCCTGGTTGTGTGCGGCCACTTCCGCCGGCGTAAAAAAGCGACGCTTGAAATACTCGAAGTCGGGCCCAGCCACGAGCCCCCGGCGCGGCATGGCTGCGGCCACACTCCCGGCTGCACGATCGCGCCGGGCGGGGAGCTGGAGGAGCGCGTCGTTCTGCTGTCATGGAAACCATTGTCCCTTTACGGCCACCGTACACCGAGCGCCACCCCCCACCGCGGGCGAGGAGGTGCTGGGGCTGCTGGGAAACGTAGTCCGAGGCCTTGTCGGTCACGGGAAGGCCTGAGGGGAAGCCAACTCGCCGCATCTCAGCTCGGCGGACGGGGCTGCGCGGGCGGGAGGGCAGGGCGAGCTGCCTCCGCAGGAAGAACAGCGGGCAAGCCTCCTCGCTACGTCACGTGGCTGCTGGAGGTCGTCTCTCGCGAGATCTACGCGGTTGCCTAGGAGATCAGGCAGAGGAGACGCGATTTCGCGGGGAAGAAAAAAAAAAAAAAAGGTCGCGAGTGCTCGCGAGATCTCAGACCGCCGGACCCGAAAGGTTTCTCGGGAAGTTTGAGGGCCCGAGGCAGGTCCCTGGGGCAAATGGCCGGAGCCGGACCCACCATGTTGCTACGAGAGGAGAACGGCTGCTGCAGCCGGCGGCAGAGCAGCTCCAGCGCCGGGGTCAGCGCGGGAGCCCGGGTTCTGGGGCTGGAGGGGTCTTCGGGCCCCAAGATGGGGGTTCTGGGGTGCGGGGCGGGGGCGGGGGACTGCAGCTCCCGGCAGCCTCTGGGTGCGTCGGCGCCCCGGGGCCTGCCGGGAACTGTAGTCCGCGGGGTCTGAGCGCGCGTCCCGCCAGGACTCGGACGCCGAACGGGAGGACTCGCCCGCCGCGCGCGCCCGGCAGCAGCTGGAGGCGCTGCTCAACAAGACCATGCGCATCCGCATGACGGACGGACGGACACTGGTCGGCTGCTTCCTCTGCACCGATCGCGACTGCAACGTGATCTTGGGTTCGGCGCAGGAATTCCTGAAGCCGTCGGGTCAGTGCCCGGGGAGCCCGCAGGAACCGCAGGGGGCGGGACCGGCCCCCATCCCTCACGCTCTGCTCCTTCCTTCCAGATTCCTTCTCGGCCGGGGAGCCCCGGGTCCTGGGCTTGGCCATGGTGCCCGGACACCACATCGTCTCTGTCGAGGTGCAGAGGGAGAGCCTGGCGGGGCCCCCGTATCTCTGACCCTTTCAGACATCATTAAACTGAACGAACATGGAAGGACCCACGTCTGTGTGTAGCTGGGTGTCAGGGCAGGCGCCGTCCCGTCCCCCGAAGGGCATGTCCGCAGGTGACTTCCTGGGTGGGATGGGGACCCGGCAGAGCCGGCCACCTGCAGACTGCAGGCTGCGCCCCTGCGGCTCTTCCCTCCCACGCACTCCTCCAGGATTGCTGCTGGAGCTGCGGGCGGGAAGGGGGTGTCATCCTGCTCCGGAAGGCCCATTGTTTCCCACCCCGGCCTGGCAGCGGCCGAGTTCCTCTGAGCTGGGGTCAGAGAACGGGCTCGGGTCCCCAAGGGGAGAAAGGCAGCAGCAGCAGCCCCTCCTCCCCTTGCGCCACGCTGGGATTGGGGAGGAAACTTTGGAGCTGGGGACAGAGAACCAGGGTCCGGTGCAATGAGGGAAGGCAGGGAGGTCCGCGGATGCTGAGGTCTACCCGTTTGCAGCCCCAGGGGCACGCTCTTCCTGCGCCTGGGCACAGACAGGTGTGAGGGCATTGAAGCCACCCTTGTGCACTTTGGGATCGTTAATGCTTTATTGGTGTGTGATCACTGCTCCCCCTCCACCCCAGAAAAGGGAAGGGAGAGACTTGCCAGGCTTCCTTGTCCCGGGCGTGGTCGGGGGAGAGAGGGGAGGATGTTTAGGGCCCAGCCCGGATGTCCCAAAGTCAAATGTGGGGAAGTGAGAGGCAAGCAGGATGCCCTGGGGTAGGCGAGGTGGTGCCAGCACTGGGTTCCCGCGCGCACGGGGGTCTCGGCAGAAGACCCTGGGGCTGCAAGTCCTTGGGCTGACGGGGATGGTCCTCAAACCCAGACCTTCCCCGGCGTGGGGGCACCCTGGGACCCTGACGAGGCCCGGCTTTGCTGGGGCTGCGAGTCGCGCCGGCGCCGATAGAGGGCCCGGCTGTAGGGCACGAGGCAGTCGGCCAGGCGGAGGCGCAGGCAGAGGCGGCGGTAGCTGGCCAGGGCAAGCACGAGCAGCGGCACGAGGAGCAGGAAGCCGCTGACCAGCAGGGCGGTGAAGCCGGGGTCCCGCAGGTGCGCCGTGCACGGGGGTGCCTGGGAGCGCAGGAACTGTGGGCAGGAAAGGGGGCTGCATCAGGGCCTCCATGCGCCCCCCGCCCGCCGGGCCGCAGGGCCCTCGGACCCCACATCACTGGCTCCCTCCCGCTGCCCCCTGGGGCTCGGCTCACCTGGGAGTGGCAGAGGAAGCCGAAGCTCAGCATGGTGACAGCCGGGAGCAGGACGGTCCCCAACACCAGCGCCAAGAGGAGAAGATTGAAGGCGGCCACCAGAAGGTTCTGGGCCGTCACCAGCACAGCGCAGGCCCAGCAGTCCAGGGGGTCCCGGGGCTCCGGGCCGCCCACGCTGCCGGCAGCAGGGCGCTGCGCCCCGAGGACATCCGCCATGGCCCAGCCCGGCTCCCGCCCGCCCGCTGCCCGGGTGTCCGCCCGCTGCCCGGCCGTCCTGGACACCACGGCCCTTATAACCCTCCTTCCTGCCCCTCCCCCGGCGCAGCCTTCCCCACCCCCCTCATCCTGGAATGCGGCTCCAGGATTAGGCACCCCCCATCCCGAGGGGGCAGCCCGAGCGCTGGACATTCCACAGGCGCCTGGCGAGGGCTCCCCCTGGCCGGCCGCCCGCCGGGGTCTGCGCCGGGCCGCCCCATCCATCACCGCCTCGCCGCCCGCCTCCCCGCTATCGCCAGCACCGTATCATCCAAACGGGTTGTGGTTCTGTGTGGGTTTTTTTTTTTTTTCCTGCTTTTATTTTTAATATTAATATTCTCACACAAAAATCACTGAGAGGGGATGGGATTGGGAAGACCCCTCTGGCCCTAGGAACAGAGGGACAGTGCAGAGCGAGGGGGTGGGACTGGGGTCCCCCACCCTCCGCAGCCCCAGCGTAAAAAAAAAAACCAAAAACGAAAACAAGTGATGAGGGCCCCGAAACGGCAGGAAGGGGACGCCTCTTCCTCATAGTTCTTTAAAACTTTTAAAAAATTTTAAAATTTTATGTATTTCTTTATTTAATTTTTCTTTTATTATTATTATTATCTTTTTTCTTTCTTTTCTTTTTTTTTTTTTTTTACAAAATACCATTTCAGTTCCCACTTCTTCCCCTACAGTACAGGAGTCGCTCACCCTCAGGCGGGGTTGGGAGGACTGGGTCTGGGGGTGGGGTCTGGGAGTAGGGTGGGGGGCACTGGTCCGAGAAAAAAGTGCAGGACGCAGGGGAGGGGAGCGGGCTTGAGCACCATGAGAAGCCGGCCCGACGGGGCGGGCGGCCGGGGCAGGTCCCCGTAGGGCAGGGGCGAGATGGGGAGGCGAGATGGCTGGGGGTCAGGGGAGGCGTTGCAGGAAGTTGGGTTTTGCCAAAAATGAATAAATAGAGGTGAGTGGGACTGTTATAAATTAAAAACCAAAAAAAAAAAAATACAAATCATAACCGAGTGACTAAACGAGAGACACGGACAGGGGTCAGCCAGCATCGGGCGGGAGTCACAAAGAAAAAAAAAAAGGAGACAAAGCCAACAAGGCGGTTCGGGCAGGGGGACGTCCGTGGGAGAAGCTCGCGGGGAACCTCGGCTGCCGGAAGTCTATGTACACACGAGCCGCGCGCGTGGGCGCCGGGGCGGGCGGCAGGCGTGAGGGAACCCGTATGCGACCCCCGCCGCCGCCGGGGCCTGGTCCTTGTGTCTGTTGCTTAGAAAGGCCAAAGTCGGTGAGGGGAGGCGCTGGGGCGGGGAGGGGCTGCCAGACCCCCGCCCCGTCTCCCATTTTTTTTCCTTTTTTTTCCTCATGTTTGTTTAAAAAAAAAAAACTTTTTTTTTCTTAATAAATTAAGTGAGGGGGAGCTGCCAATAAGGTGGAAGGGCTGGGCCCGACCCCTTGGCGGCCGGAGGCGGGACCCAGGTCCAGCCCAGGTGTGTGCTGGTGGCCCCGCGGCGGGCGCCCTGTGCAGGCTGGGCCTCATCGCGACGTGCTGGCCGGGGCCTGCGGGGCAAGAGGGGCGGGCGGCTCAGGGCTGGGGCCGTCCTCCCCTCGTCCCCTCTGCCCTCCCCGTCCTCCCCTCCGTCCCCTCTGCCCTCCCCGTCCTCCCCTCCGTCCCAGGTCCCCCGGCCCCTCTGCCCTCCCCGTCCTCCCCTCCGTCCCAGGTCCCCCGGCCCCTCTGCCCTCCCCGTCCTCCCCTCCGTCCCAGGTCCCCCGGCCCCTCTGCCCTCCCCGTCCTCCTGGCGCCGTCCTCCCCTCCGTCCCCTCTGCCCTCCCCGTCCTCCCCTCCGTCCCCTCTGCCCTCCCCGTCCTCCCCTCCGTCCCAGGTCCCCCGGCCCCTCTGCCCTCCCCGTCCTCCTGGGATCCACTTCCTCACCAGCGTGAAGGCGTCGTAGGCCTGCGCCAGCTCCTCCGTGCGGTACTGCTCCAGCACCACGACGCCCTGCAGGCCCGCGCTGCGCCTCCGCGCGCAGCCCTCACAGTGCACCAGGTACGTGTTGCGGCTGCCATTCTCGCTCGTCACGAACAGGATGTTGAACACCTCCACCTGCGACAGGGCGGTCAGGGCGGTCAGGGCGGTCAGGGGGCCCGGGGCCAGGGGACGGCCGCGCCCCGCCCAGCCCCTCGGCGGCCACTCACGTCGCACTCGTTGCAGTAGTAGGCGGGCTCGTCCTTGACCCGGCCCTGGTAGGCGATTTTCTTCCCGGCCCGCACCAGACTTTCACGCTGCACCTGGCAGTGTTTCATGGACTGCAGGAGGCAGAACCTGCGGGCCGGGGAGACGGCGGCCATGAGGGGGGACCCCCGGGAGGCACGCTGTGGGTGGGTGGGCGGGTGGCTGGGGGCCGAGGTGCGGCCGGCAGGTGGGGCGCCCTCACTTGATCATCTTGAACAAGTCCGGGTCGCTGATCTTGACGGTGCGCGCCACGTTCCAGGACACGTGAATCATAGGCACGATGGACTTGACGTTCTTCACCTCGTTCCACTCGTATCGTTCCAGGGCCAGCTGGTACTGATAGGCTGCGGGCCAGAGGCGTGGTTACAGGCGGCCCGGCAGGCCCGGCAGGCCCGGCAGGCTCCCGCAGGCCCTGCTCCCCGGGCCTCCCTGCTCCCCGGGCCTCCCTGCTCCCCGGGCCTCCCTGCTCCCGGGCCTCCCTGCTCCCCGGGCCTCCCTGCTCCCGGGCCTCCCTGCTCCCGGGCCTCCCTGCTCCCGGGCCTCCCTGCTCCCGGGCCTCCCTGCTCCCCGGCGCCAACGCCCTTACCGGTGAGAGGCCCCACGTTCCAGGCGATGTTGTTGCACCAGCCCGTGGCCTGCACCCAGTGCACAGTCCCTGCGTTGATCCACACGAGGTCCCCGGGCCGCTGCACAAAGCGGTACACAGGGATGTTGGACGCGTAGAGGTCGTCCAGAATCGGCCACCAGGAGCCCGTCAGGTAGTCCACGCCGTGCCTGCAAGGAGACTGAGGTTCAGGTGGGCAGCCCGCGGGCCCGGGAGCAGGGCTGGGACGCGGCGGGGTGGCCAGCCGGGTTGGGGCGGCACGCACCGGTCGCAGAAGGCGCTGATGGTCTCCCAGTAGTGCTCGTGCACCGCGAACCACTCACAGTCGCCGGGCCCGATGTTGATGTTGACCGAGCAGAAGTTGTTGTTCTCCTGGTGACCTGCAGGGGGCAGCCGGGAACAGCACGGCCCTCTGACCCCTCGTGGCGACGCCCGGGCGACCCCGGTGCCCGGTGCCCGGTGCCCGGTGCCCGGTGCCCGGTCCGCCCCTCCACGCGCCCCCTGGGGCCGCGAGCAGCACACCTGGCGTCCGGCTGCCGGGGACCTTCATGTACAACTGCACGGTGTTCATGCCCAGGATGGTGTGGCCCACGTGGCTCAGCATGTTCCCCGTGGACGTTACCCGCATGAAGGCGGGCAGCTTCAGCAGCTCCTGCAGCTGGGGCTTCCACCTGCGGGGCGGGGGAACGACGGGGGGGGGGGATGAGAGGCGCCCGCGGCCCCTGAGCACTGGGCGCTGCACACTCCCCCGCCCCCGTGGTGCTGGTGTAAGCCCACACTGACCGCTTGGCGTCAGACAGATCGATGTTGGTGCCGAACTTGATGATGTGATGGTTCTTGGGGTCTGGTGCGCTGCTGCTGGGGCAAAGGGCACAGGTTGGCAGAGAGCACGGGGAGGGGGGAGGGCAGGGCCGCGAGGGAGGGGCACAAGCAGACCCTACCTAGGAGGGGTGCCTGTGGTGCTGTCTGGCTCCTCGGACTCATCATCTTCACTCTCCTTCTCCTCCTGCTCGGCCACAGAAGGAAGTGGGGCTGGTAAGTGATGGCAGCAGCCTGCGCAGCACAGCCCCCCATGCCAGTGCCACAACTTGTGCCCACACGCCTCCCTGCTCACCTGCAGTGACTCCTGGAAGGACGAAGCCTGGTACTGTGCATACTTAGCAATGGTGGTGTGGGAGCGGGAGCTCTCGCAGGGCCAGATCTGCCGGGTGCCCGTCAGATCCCAGTTTTCATCTGAGGGCTGCTGCACTTGGGTGCGCACCTCCACTGTGTGCTCGCCACTCGCTTCCACCAGCGTCTTGGTGGAAAAGAGGCCCAAGTCTGCAGGGGAGGGCCAGGCAGGCAATCGGGGCAGAGCACGGTGACAGAGGACCCAACCCCTCCTTCCTACCTCCTGGGCCTTGGACAAGATGGACACAGCCTTTGTGGGGCTCAGCCCCATGTTCCCTCCAACACATCTGGGGGACTTGCCCCTTCCTAGGCCCTCCCTAGCCCCCCTCTTTCCTTCACAGCTCCAAGCCTCAACCCTGAAACCAGAGTCCTGAGGGGTGCAGCTGGGCAAGTGTGTGTGTGCAGCCCCACTTCTGCCCAAGGCCTGGCAGCTTCTGTAAGGCCTTGTTGGACCCCGCTGAAAGGCTAGCCCAGCAGTGCACAGAACGGGGGCGCTGGGGAACTCAGGGAGGGGAGGAGGGCTGCAGGACCCTTGAGGTTTCCATGACTTCCTTTGCTTTTGTGTTTGGGCAGGGGACCAAGGCTAGCAGGGATGGCTGCCATGTCAATGGGGAGTGCTCCTGATAGGTTCTCAGAGGGTCCACAACACCCCAGATCCTGGCAGCCCCCACACTCACTGAGCCGCAGGGAACCTGCCAGGCCCCGGATGACCGTGATGGGATTGCGCGGGTCTGTGCAGAACTGCAGCAGCACTGGGGAGAAGGCGTCGCGTTTGCTCTCCAGCTAAGAGGTGACCAGGAGAGGCAGGGTCAGAGCCTATCCTGGGCTCCAGGCACCCAGCTGCCCACTCCCTTCTTGAAGCTCCCCTGGCAGGGGCAGGTGGCTACTGCGTACATAAATGCTGGGGGTGGGTGGGTTGAGCTTCTCCCGCGGCAGCTTCTCTTCGGTGTTGATCTTGGGTTTCACAGACT